TGGGATATATTTGGACTACATTTGATTTACTCAGGTATAACTGCATTAGTTACAGTGCTTGCCAACATTTGTCAAGTGATTCCTTCAATTGAAAGAATGATGAGTTTCACTTAGGATTCCATCATCATAGCCTGTTTTTAGGGCAAGTACAGGTGCTCAGATCCACTTACCTGGCAAATTGATTATATTATATAATATACACAATGTGATCAGCTAGAAATGTTTTCTTTCTGTTAATCTTAAATAACTGTACACAGGGAAAACAAGTCACTTCAAAATCTATTTAAAGTTAAGTGCCTGAAAACATAAAATTTGCACATGTAGAATTATTCTTGAATATTATTTTACTTGTTGATATCTATACATCACAAGCAACCTGGATTATCATTCACAGTTCACCATAATTAGCACAAGTATGGGAAACCCAGAAGAGAGAATCCAAAATGTAGGCTCTTAACACATCACATAGTCTTATTTATCATTTTCCAGGCTGCTTGATGAGAGAAAGGATTAAATTATGTTTCTGAATTAAACTGTGAGATGATAATTATACAAAATTTAAGAACATGTTCTATTGTGTCCATAATGTGCTTTATTCAAAGCTTTAGGAGAAAAGAGAAAATACTCCAAAAAGACAGAGCAGTAGTTTGGAAGAGAATGATGGTGTAACATTCTGAATGAAGTAATATGTTTATCATCAGGGAGCTTCAAATGAGAAAAATAAATGGGAGAAGGCTTGGACACACAAAATAAAAACATAGTATATTTGCCTGTTTTTTCCCCCTGACTTGAAATAGAAAAAAAAAGAAATGAAAATGAAGATAATGAGAATAGACACATGGAAGCCTTCTGTGATATTATCAGACAAATTCTATTTTAGAAGACAGATGAAGAACAGAACAATTTGAAACTACATGTGACATCAATGACTCTTAAGTAAGGGAGCAACAGAAAAATATGCCATTAAAGACTTTTAATGTCTGTGTTACAAATTGCTCCTGAATGTCTGTGAAGAGGCTCAAAGCATATAAAAAAGGAAGAAGCCAAATACTAATTAAGTTATAAAGTAAGTATATGATTATGTCAGTTTCTATCTTAGTATCTTCTTAAGTCTTGCTACATATTATATCAAACATTAAGCCTAACTATTAACTTATAAAATAATACATACTGCATAATGAATGAGAAAAAAGATTTAAAAGTGATCAAGAACTTCACTTTTTCTCTGTGATATGGCAAAGCTTCATTAATGAACTCAAACTTACCTCTTTCAGGCCAGAAACAAGAGAAAAACAGCTAGTGTATTTGTCCATATTCCTGGTATTATATTGATATAAAGTGATTAAGTTACAGTAAAGACGAGAGAACTTCAAAGTAGAAACAAGTGAGAAAGCAAGGGCTTCAGAAACCAAAAGACCTTGGCCAGTTTGCTTAAAATACTGTCATACATTATCAAAAATGTCTGTGTGACTAGTGGCTTCTTCCTTACACACAAATTCTGGAGGCTTGTGTCACTTGATTTCTTTCAAAATCACTGAAGATAATTTCTAAGGAAGATGTAGAAATTCCCAGGGTAGGGATATGACTATGAGGCTTGATCAACTGTTTAGCATCTGCATTCCTAGCACCACACACACATCTACATCTATTTATTGAAATTAGACTTTCAATAAATAAAATTTAAATAGCAGGAACTTCTAGTGAAGAAACAAGACACAGCAGATTAAGAAACTGACCAATGTCTTTTCTATTTCCACTTTGCAGTGAGATTAATGGGTCCCCACTTGAGTCATCCATGTTACTTAGCTTCTTTGGGTCTGTGGACTGTAGCATGGTTATTCTTTACTTAATGGCTAATATCCACCTATAAGTGAGTATATATCATGTTTGTCTTTCTGGCTCTGGGTTACCCCATTTAGAATGATCTTTTCTAGTTCCACCCATTTGCCTGCAAATTCCATCATGTTACTGTTTTTAATAGCTGAGTAATACTCTATTGCATATATGTATCACATTTTCTTTATCCATTCTTCGATTGATGGACATCTAGTTTGTTTCCAGGTTCTGGTTATTATGAATAAAGCTGCTATGAACATAGCTGAGCAACTGTCCTTGTGGTATGGTAGAACGTTCTTTGGGTATATGTTCAGGAGTGGTATAGCTGGATCTTGAGGTAGACAGATTCCCAATTTTCTGAGAAACCACCATATTGATTTTCAAAATGGCTGTGCAAGTTTGCACTCTCGCCAGCAATGGAGGAGTATTTCCCTTGTTCCATATCCTCTCCAGCATGAGCTATCATTTGTGTTTTTGATCTTAGCCTTCCTGACAGGTGTTTTGATTTGCATTTCTCTGATGGCTAAGAATGTTGAATATTTCTTTAGGTGTTTCTCTGCCAGTTGGGATTCCTCTGTTGAGAATTCTGTTTTTTTTTTTTTTGATGTCTAGTTTCTTGGTGCTAGAAGGTACTCTGTAGATAGAGTACCAGAAAAGAAAAATAACCACCCATCTACAAACCCTGTGCCCTACAATAGAGACGTGACTGCAAGATGTACTGATGCTATAGTGGCACAAATGGTATGAGAAAGAGCAACAACTTTTGATTGAATTTGAGGTCCACTAAATGAAATGGATACCATACCTGACACTGCTAAAGTGACCAAGAATCCAAGACTAAACTGGTCATGGTTCTAGGGGAAAACACACTACTATTATTCTCTGAGAGAATCATAACAATAACTCCTCACGGCATAACGATATACCCATAGATCAGTGTATTGTTCAGTCATCATCTGAGGGGCTTCTTATTGAAGCAGATGGTTAATAACAGAGACCCACCTCTGGAAAATGCACAGAAAGTGAGAGACTTTGGAACACTCAATCCTAAATGGTCTTACCCTCAAGACTAAGGGGTCTATGTAGAAGAGGAGACGGAAGGATTGTAAATGAGGGGATGGACGACTCCTAGGAACCAGTGTCTTCCAGACACAACAGGAATGATGCACATATGAACTCACATAGACTTTGGCAGCACACAGATATCTGCATATATTCAAGCCAGACAAAAAATCCAGCACTAAAAAGGAGAAGTAGACTCTAAGTCCCACCCCTAACCAAGAAGCTGTTTGCAATTAATACCTTGTAGGAGAGGTGAATAAGTTTTCTCCAATGGAATGTCACTGGGTTTATCAACCACACTCACAGGCAGGCACAATAACCAAGAGTAGATAGCCAATACAAAATGAAATTTTTTTCTTTTTGTATTGCTTGAGAATTTTTTTTTCTTATTGGTCATTTGTCTGATTATTTTCTGATTTATTGTGGTTTGTTGTTGTTGTTGTTAAGTGGAGAAAAAGTATATGAAGTTTAGATGGGTAGGAAGGTGGGGTATATCTGGGAGGAGGTGGGGGAGGAAAAATTAAAATGTTTAATGTTTTGCTACATGTAGAATCCATAACCCAGTCTATTTGTAATATCTCATTAGCAGCTGCCATTTATTATATACTTTGTTGTTGATAGACATTATATTAAATGCTTTATAAACATTCAGAAGCCCACAAAGTGGGAGAGAATCTTTGCTAACTCTACAAATGGTAGACAAATAATATCCAGAATATAAAGAACTCAGAAACCAGAGTTAATGGGCTTGGGATCTAGACAGTGTTTTCAAAAGAAGAAAAAAAAATTACTAAGAAATATCGCAAAAAATGTTCAATTAGGGAAATGCAAACCAAAACAACTTCGAGATTTTTGTCTTACTCTGGAAAGAATGGCAAAGATCAATGGAACAACATGAAACAAATGATGAAGGGGATGCAGGAAAAAGGAACTCGTACTCACTGCTGGAGGGATTGCAAAGTGGTGTAACCATTGTGGAAATCAGGATGAAGAACCCCCAAATGGCTATAAATAAATCTACCATATGATCTACCTCTAACACTTCTTTACATATGCCCACAGAATGCTACATCATACTCTAGAGATACTGCTTAACCAAGTTCATTGCTGTTCTATTCCCAACATCTAGGAAATGGAAACAACCTAAATGTCCTTCAACTGACAATAAAAATGTGGTACATATACACTATGAAGTACTATTCAACTTTAAAAAAAATGAAAGTATGAACTTTGAAGATAAACGGATAGAACTAGAAAAGATTATATTGAGTGAGGTAACACAGAAAAGACAAACATCACACGTTCCCTTTATTATGTATTTCTTGAAATATAACAAAGGAAAAAGTGGTCAAATATAATCATGTAAAACATTTATACATCACAGTGATCTAGAACTGAATTATGTATTGTTACATTTGGACATGAAGTGTTTGCCAAAGTTCTGTGTATTGAACACTTGCTTCCCAGCTGAAACTTGAACTTGCACCTACTTAAAGAAGTGAGACAGAGAAGGGAAACCCACTTCACTCTCGGGTACTGGGTAAATGGTGAGCACTGTAAAAATCACTATTAGGATTAATGGCAAGTTCTTTAATTCCACACTGTTATCACTCTTGATGTTCATTTTCTGTAAATAGGCAAAAAAACTATGTTAAAGTCAACAACAAACACTTTAAAGGTTGAAATTGTGGCTTAGTTCTAGATCCTCTGTCATACATGAAGCTGTATGTTCAATTCCTAGTATAATAAAAGGGGGGGAGAGGTAAATTTTTAAAGAGATATATACATCTGTATTTATTGCTTCTATTCATCATATTGTAAGAAGTCCTAGCTAGAACAATCAGACAAGACAAAGTAATGAAAGGTATCTATCTACATTGGAACAAGTTGGAGTCAAATAGTCAGTTTGCAGATGACAAGATTTTCTGTAAAGAAGCTCCCCAACATTAAATAATACATTGTACAATGTATACATGTACCAAATCAGCATATTATCTAGTATGTATTTTTTGTCTTACATATCAGTAAAAATTTTAATAACTAATTAAAAGTTTTAAAAGGAGAATTTAGTGAGAGAGAGAAAAGGAGATTACTGTGCTCACATGTGCCTTTCATGCATGTCATTGTTGAAGAGCATAACTCAATGACCCGAACGGCAAAACTTCCTGGTTCTTCTGCTGGCACTGTCAAAATGGAGACCTGAAAACCAGAACAAATAATAGAAATAACTGTTAGGTCTCTTTTATTTTTCTATCTTTTGAGTGTTAACTTCACAGTTCCCAAATATCCTTTGATACTTGAAAACATTTTGCTTATAAAAATTTCATTTGGGAGTAAAAGGCAAAACATGCAACACAAGTCTCAATATCCAATTTCTTCATTATTACTCATGTTTATACAATTCCCATCAACAATGAATATTTCAAATCTTTAATACTGATTCCATTCATCACACATCACATACTATTCACAGGAATGCAATTATAATATTACTGTTAAAATATAAGCACTCTGCTCCTTGAGATCAGATTATAATAATAAGTGGTCTTATCTACTACTGATATGATATATGGCTCATATTTTAAAGGCTTTACATGACCATCACATCAATGATTCTCTGGAGAGCTGAAGTTTCCATGTAATTACTCAGTCAAATCTACAATCTAAGGAAATTATAACCTCTTAAAGGAAATGCTAGTGAAAGAGAAAGCCCCAATTTCACTTTTCCCTGCTTGTGCTGTGCTTGCATTTTGACTAGCAATGCAAAAAGGAAGCAACTACAACACATTTTTAAAATAGAAATTGTCACGATACCAATGACTATCCTACTTGCCATCTATTTGGCGGCTTATGATGTTTCAAAAACAGTTCTCCATGTTCCTCTTAACTCTCTTTGCTGCTATTAAGGATAGAAAATGTACTTTAGCATCAAAGAGAGAGAAACCACTAAGACACTGAACACTGTGAAATAATGAAATGACTGGGACTAAAAATATGATCATAATTGAAAACGTTCCTTTAATGATTCAACCAACATGGAAGAATTTCTTTTGATTCCTGCAATTATCATAATTTATTACTGAGATACAATCGGTATTGTTCTACTGGAGCACCTCCCTCACCTAAACTCTGAGAAGTTGACTGTTTCAAGTATTACAGAGATTTAAAAAACCATTACAGGAGAATCTCCTCAACTCTCTAACATCACTAAGCAATAACCCTCTAATCTTCTTAGTTCTACTTGCAATTCAAAATAAAGATCTACAGAGAAGTGGGAAAGAGAGGAAGGGGTTGAAGGAAATAAAGGACTGTGATTTTGTCAGCTATGTGGAGGATGGATCTCAAGATGACAGATGGGAAGCAGGGTGACAAGTTAGAAGGTAGAGATTATAAACATGGAGACAGTAAAGTTAACCACAAGAAAGGGAAGAACTGAGAGAGCTTTTATCAAGTAGAAGGATAGGACCCGAAGGTTGAGAAGATGTCAGAAAGAAGTTTGTGTGGCTAGAAAAATATCAGTTCCGTTCTCAGAGGCAGTGAGCAGTAGAAGAAAAGCACTGTGAGGACAGAAGATGGTGACTTCAGCTTTAAGTGCCTATCTCTTGACAGTCACCCAACAGAACTTTGGCCTGTGATCCTGGAAGCCCTAGGCCTCTAAGAGCTGACCTCCAGCATTTATGTGAAATTGAGACTATGGATTCGAATACAGGAAATCATTTGAGTGTGCAGACAGACAGATAATATAGTTGGATGAAGGGAGTATTTTGATATTTAAGAATAGGAGAAAAAGAAAAAGAGTGTCAAAAAGGCAGAGAAGGAATAGTCAATGTTCTGAGGAGGCACAGGGCATGAAAGCCAAAGGTGTTCAAGAGAAAGAGAGAAAAAAATGTCAAAAGCCATCAGGAAAGTTCTGGTAGAAAATAATAAAAAATGTCTCCTGACCCTGAATATCACTTTTTTTTAAAAAAAATGCATTTAGTAACAGAAATTGTGGTAGACGTGTATGAGCAAAAGCAAGACCGTGGTTTAGAAATGCCTGGGAGTTCAGGAGCTGGAAGCAGCAAGTACAGTGTATAGAACATCCTATTAAAAAGAAAGGAGAGGCTGAGTACTAGGTCGAGATGGAGGCAGAGATTGGGCTGTTTTGTTTTTAATTGTAAAATTTCAGTCAATGTGTCTGTATAGCATTCATGTATACATCAAAAGCACCTGTGAGGGAGGTTGCCTATAGACAAGGAAGACACAGACCCCCTCAATCACTTTGCAATGGTGTACATATACTGTGGGTGGTAGGGTAGAGATTCAAGTTCTTTTGTGCATGGTGAGTATCTTATTTTACCCAGAGAAACAAGAAGATGAGAAGTTATCAAAAGCCAGTGGAAGAATTTGTATGTGAACAGGATCCAGCTGAATGAGGCTGATATCATGACTTTGTGGGAGGGCCAATCTGCTTGGTTGTATAGCTTTCTCAAGTGGCCCTCAGTGATATGAATACAATTAATAGCCAGACACAGGAAAGAGATTTTCCTCTGTGTTTCCAATGGAGACCTAGCAACATGGGACATGAAGGTGTTAGAAAGAGTATCCACTACTGTATCTAAGGCAAAGGAAAGGAAAAGGGTAGAAGAGAGATGATTAAAAATTGAAAGAATTCGAGGGGCAATTCTATGAACAGACAGATGGGAAAAATGATTCAAAGAGATGGGAAGACTGGAACAGATTCATGATCCTCATGTCTATAATCTTCAGATTTGACTGGACCATTGACATGGCTCAAAAGACTGTACATAGAACAGGCCACTCCATGAAATGATTATTATACATCTTTCAGGTTTGATTTGCTTGTAAGCCTCATACTTGGGAGAGGACTTCACCTTGTAATTTAAAGAATGGAATTCATCAACTCCCAAACTTACAAAAAATAGTTCCATTTTCTCCCTCTTACTTTAACACACCAGACAATGCTTGGGCTGGTTTTTCTCTGACTTTTGGTTGGACTTCAACTCATCAATTACTTTCTTTCTTGCCTGAGTATCTCAACTTCTCTGCTGACTCCATTCAAACAGCTAAAATATGTAACAACCTTTTAAAAGAAAGCCGTCCTCACTTCCACATCCCTCTTCAGGGACCAATTCCTCTTTCTTATAAAGAATTGCCCCTACTTGCTCTTTTCCTGGTTCTGTCTCCTTGTCCCCCTCAGATGCATTCACAAAACCCATGGTTTAATCGGAAATCTAGACCCATCAACCAACAATGCCAGCCCAATGTGAAGAGGGAAAAACAACTGCTATATAATGTCTTTAAGCTATCCTACGCTAATCCTTGTTGTACTGAACTGCACTTCTTAGTTGTCTGTCTGTTTTTGTGCCCCTAGGCTACGTGGTATTTGAACCAGATATGCCATCATAGTTATCAATCTCTCCGAGGAGGTCAGAACTCTCTGGCTGCTGAGGAAGAGGCACTTGTTTGCTAACCATTAAATGAATGCTCAGTTTTAGAGATTTAATACACAGCATAGGGGCTATGGTTACTAAGACTATATTATAAACTTAAAACTTGCTAAGAGTGGACTTTCACTATTCTTGCCATAAAAAATGCTCTGTAAAGATAGACATGTTCATTAGTTTGACTGTAGTATTAAGATCATCATGTACATATATTTCTTTTTTTAACAAACATCTTTTATTTTAAAAAAAATAAGAGGACTGAATCACCTGTTGATCTGAATCCGTTTTTAGTACAGATCCATCTGTAATCAGGACTGCCCTGGATATCTGCCTGCAATGCACAAAAGAGGAAAGCAGTGATTCAGATTCTATGGTTAAGTTTCAATTATTGTTATGTAACTAGCAGAAGGCATGTTTCAAAGATTTAAGTAAGGATAAAAGTGTCAAAACCAAGTCAAGTTCTGCTTTAATCTTTTCTTGGCTCAAGAAAGAAGGATGCACGACCTACAGACAAACTCCAGCTGATGCAAAGGAGAAGAAATTCTGCTAGGCTCCCCTCAAAACAGAACCAAGTAGGGAAGAATGGTAAGAAACAGAGTTATACCTTCGGTTTGGTATACCTCTGCATGCTCCTTGAAAAGCAGAATGATGAGAAGGGACAATATATCTACATGGCCAGAAGTGTTCCCTTCCTTTGCGTAATGGGTGGAGGGTACCTTACCTGTACTGTACACGGGAACATGTGTTCTCAGAAAGGTAACTGTCTTCAATAACGAAATGTTTAGATATTATTCTTTGACCAAACTGATCTATCATTGCTTTACATCTATAAAGAAGATAAGCATAGAAGAAAAGATCATATTAATGATTAAGTAATTGAGAAAATGAAATAATGAACTGCTGATTTTGATTTGAAACCTTGTGAAACTTAAAATTGCCAAGTACTCTGCATTTTCTAACAATGAACTAGAGACATATTCTAGTAGTTATTCTGACATCTTTTAAACTATAACTGCATGTAAACTGTTACTTAAATATTTATTTTGATTGTCATTAGTCTGTAAGTGTAAGGCCAGCAAAGCATTATTGCACAATTCCAAGCTTTCCTCACATTTAGAAACTAGAAGCCATTCCTTTGTTTAGAAAAAAAAATCAGCTTTCTTTTTTCTACCTTTAACAGTTCTAAGAGGAAAAGGAAAGCTGATTAAATATCTTGTTGTATCATTCCCAGCCTGTAAAGGCCACTAAAGGCTTTTTATTTTCTGTTAAGTGTTGCTTTCTCTTTTGTTCAAGAACAGCTATCTGGTCACGCGTTTGATAATGTTTTAAACAGAAAAAAAAAAGGATAGAGCCTCTTTTAATATCTGTTTCCACTTTACTTCAAAGGATAATCATGGAAAGATTTCTTTCAAGTGCTGTTTCCAAATAAGGAAAACACTTATGCATGGACATTATCAGGTCTCTGTCATCTGATATGTGTTGGGACAATGAATCATATAGAACCCTCCATTGACCTTCTTTCAATGTGTCTAGATAAAAGGATGAAAATTAGAATCCATCTCCTTGCAGTGCTACAAGTTATAAATGTACTTTATAGGGCTCATTATCCAAACTAATGGACTAGGAGCGACATCCTTGAAACGGACTTACCAGCACTGACAAAGCCACTATACAGTATTTCAGGAACTATATGCAAATGACTGTATGTTTGCTGTATCTTTTTATTATGGAAATATCAATTTGCTTTTGTCACAGCTTCTTTTAGTACAGGAATTATTTTATTAGAAATCCACTTATATGCTGGTCCTCACAAAAATGCAAGCAAATGATTTTAACACTCATGTCATATTTAAAATATTCTGCTATAAATTAAAGTATCCTCAATTGGTCTAAACAAGCCAAGTAAGGGATCAATTAAAGGCATATATGAACTAAAAATAAAATGACCAGCATCCAAAACCAATGAAAAAAGGAAATGAATTTGTATTTTGCTGTTACCATTGAATAAATGGCACACCACTGCTGGCAGGTTAGACTATTATGTCTCACAATGTTATAAAATACTTAGAAACAAGTAAGCATATTTTAATATAAATCTGTTGTATTAATATTTAAATGACTTCCCCATCTTACCTACACTTCAACTCTCCTTCATTTCCTTAAACTAAGAGCTCACCTCACCTATAACATATTTCACTAAATTAGCACAAAGGACTTACATCAAATATTGTCCAAGATAATTTTTAAAAAGTAGAAAGATAAGTTTGTTTTTTAACCTCCTACTTTGAAGCATTCATAAACAATTTAAAAATCAAAGAACTTGAAGGAATGGAGAAGAGACGTTTGCTGAACTGTCATGACATACTGATTATATTTGTCCTGTAACCACTGGCAAACATTTCTTACTTTTAACTAAGAAGCTACAGAAACTGAAGAAAGAAAAATGCAGACAGGCAAAGGGAGTATAAAGTGCTATGTACGTTGAAAGGACTGAGGGTATACAGATTTGTCTTTTGCTGAAACTCAACTAATAAATACTTAAGGATGGGGCACAAGTATAATTTTATCTAAAAGGATGATGGAAAACACTGAACTGTAGTTCATGATGTCCATATTGAAGTGTTTAGGGTGAATTTTACTGATATCTGCAATTTACTGTGGAATGCATAAAAGATGAATCAATAGAAGGCTCAAGAGTTGAGTAACTGAGAAGATGTGTGAATAAGCAAGTATACTGCAATGTTCACTGCAGAAATTGAGCAGAAGACATAAGAGGTGTTCACTTGAAATTCAGTGTTGGCAAAGGGTTTGAAACTGAGAAAAAAGGTGCTTTTCGTATAAATCTTCAACCTCAGTGCCTTTGCAAAAGGCTCCTATTATCAAACAAATGAGCAACCCAGAAATAAACCTAGCCCTCAAGATTACAAAGTCTTTCCTCCTTTGTTGGTTTCCAAAGACTAATAGGGATCTGTTGGTGACTGGCAGACACTGTTGTCAGGTGTTACAGTATTAGGAAGAATTAATGCAGATAAACCCAGAGAGGAAATAACGAGATGTGGATACACGCAAGCTCAACTATGCAGGGATAAGATGCTAATAAATGTGCCTGTGTATGCAGAAGCTTTAGATGAAACAGTGATTTCCAAAGGAGGAGGAGGAGGAGAAGGAAACAAATCAGAATCACACCTGGGGGACTTTTTCAAATAATAAGTACCCCTGGAGATTCTGATAAGCTTCCAAGTCCCAAGAAAGAATCAAAGCGAAGCCTCTGCTACTGTTGCTTATGTTACACTAAAGTGAGAAAAATAAAGAGCTCCAGATAGAGAAATTACCCACATCTGTACAGAGTGAGGCGACTATTACATATGCCCAGTCTTGGTCTGGTAGACAGTAACACCATGACTCACCTGTTAGTCTCATTCTTACCCTGAAGTACTAAGGCAGTAGCCCTAAGCAAAGCTGTGCAAACCAAGACATATTAAGCAAGTGGTAAGATTTGTTTTCCCTCAGATACCTGACTTATTGCCATATATTCAGCCTAATTGGGAGAACAATGAAGAACGAATATTGATTTGGGACCTACTCTTAATCTTTGTGTTATAAAGATTAATATAAAAATTAGATGACATTCGCTTAATGGAAAACAACAAAATGAAACAGTGCTGCCAGACACATTAAAATACCCTCCTGCCTACTCCTCCCACATAAACCTGAGGAAGCCATTAATGATTAACAGCATTTCGGACTTAGCAGAGGGCCTTGCTGAGCCTCATAAATAGTAAATTGAGAAGGAACATGATAGGAGTTCCTAGTTACAGGGACACTATGACCAAGCTGATCATAAGAATCACTGAAGCTAGACAGAACATATCTTGGGCAAGGCTTTCTAAATCAACAAACCACAACACTTACTCAGTTCTTGGTTCATTGATACAACAGCATAAATAGCAAAATGACAATAAAGGAGGAAAAAAAACACAGCAAGTTTAAATCAAAACATCTGGAACTCAGTCAAGAAGAGAACATAACAGTATTAATGGGTATGCAATCCCTTTGATCTTCAGAATTAAAATCTCAGGCAATAACACAGTATGGAAATGAGAAATGAAATAATAAAAAAGGAAAATACTAGTTAAGGAAATGCTAAGATTCTTAATCATTGAAGGAAACAAACCAGGTCTTCCTATTGGACACAACTTGTGAGTTCTCTCAAAGGCATTAGTTCCAATTTTACATCTTTCAAAATACTGTTCCAAAATGTTTCACAATGATATTTCTAGGGTGGATATCTACTACAGTCATTTCATCTCATTAACAGAATTGGGTTTTTAGTTGTTGCTCTGACTTTTCATAAGATGTGTATCTATCTTCCTAATTTGTACTAATTTATTTTCTTGATAGTCTACTTATTTTCTTAGAAATATTTAATTGGCAAGTAAAAACTATATATATACATATATTTAAGGAATACAATGTGATAATCTGACATGTATACACTGTATAATGAATAAAAGAATCAAATTAACACATCGAGTTACCACCTACAATTACCATTGGGGAGTGAAGATGTTTAAAATCTGCTCTTATCAAATTTCAAGTACACAATGAAATTATCATTACCTACTTCCTTTTTATATCTAGCTTGTTGTGCTCCAAATTGACTTTAACACAGTTCGACATCTACTTTCTTCCCTTGTAATCTCTCTACCAAGTAAGGCTATGACCTGCAGTTATAACTTTCCCACCCAAATCTCTCTTCATATCTAATCTACTACTATTATATTAGATTCCACCTTAAAATATTTCTTGTAATTAGCCTCTTTTCTCCCACATCACTGACACTGTCTTAGGCTCTGGTAGCACTTAATAAGGCAGTGGACTGCTATGAAGCTGATACCTTATTTATTCAACATAAAAATACGGCAAGGCAATTAGCTGTGCAACATACTGTTCCAATAGGTGATAATGAAGATACAGACACAGGCAATTTTAAAATAATAGTACTGCTCAGCAATAAAAGGTAAGGAAAGAAGCCAGGCAGTGGTGATGCATGCCTTTAATCCCAGCATTTGGAAAGCAGAGGCAGGCAGATCTCTGTGAGTTCTAGGCCAGCATGGTCTACAATGTGAGTTCCAGGACAACCAGGGCTACACAGCCCTGTCTCAGAAAAAACAAAAACAAAACAAACAAAAATGGCGAGGAAAGACCATTACAGAGTACTAAGAGAGGTATTTAACTCAGCTTTGAAAGGATGGGCAGAGTATCAGGGAATGTAGTTCTGAGGAAGTGATTCACGATGTTTGTCCAGGAACAAACAGAGTTAAGCAAACAAGTCTGAGAATGTCTCAGGTACAGAAACTCACAATCACTTCAGTGTTAGCTGTTCAGAAGGTAGGAAACAAGAGGGACAAAGAAATGAGTGGCAGGCATCAGCCAGATGTCTCCTATAAGGTTTTAGAGTTTATTCGGAGATGATAAAAAGTCATGGAGGCTCTTTACATTTCTTCTTCATAGAGAAGAGAGCTGTATCTGTGGACCAAATAACTCTCAAGATATCTGGTTACATTAAGTGTTTTATAATGTCTTCCAGTAGCCTTTAAATTGTATGAAAACAAAAATCTCGATTTTGTCTTGTTTCCTTCTGTATTCCCAGTGCCCAGTACATAGAAAACAACTAATACTTTCATGAATGGGGAATGGACAGATGATGGAAGTATTCTGCACAAGTGAACATTAAAAGCAAACAATTGTGATTCTAGAGGTAAAGAGTATCTTTTCATTACAATCCTTCTTCCAAATCACTGCCAGGATTACTTACCCTATTGAAAAATACAGCTAATAAGTCATACTTTTTGGCAAAGAGTAGAACACAACAGACCTTCTTCCTTTAGGGCATGCCACGGTTTCCAATTACATATACTACTACTGTATACTGAACTACTTTTATGTGTAATCATGGTTTTATGAGGTTTATCTGCTTTGCTAAGACTGCAAGAACCCTACAAGGTATGGTTAGTCAGCCACTCCACTTTTTTATAATAACACTAGGGCACAGAGGAGTTCAACATCCTCCTTAATTTTACACAGGTTGGAAATGGCAATGTCAAAATTCAAATACAGTTTATGTGTCATTGAAGGCTGCACTGTTCCCTTAAATCCCAACACAAAGACACAGGGTCTATATTTTATTTCCTTTTTTTTTTTTAAATCATACCACAACATAGCAACTAGCATGAGAGTTGGTAAAGGGCAAGCTTCTAGAATATAATTATTACCATTTTACAAAAGGGATACCCTACAATCAGAACTTCAGTAATGGCACAAGTAATGGAATCTTAGCCTAACAAACGACTATTAACATCCAAATATCCAGGGAAGGTAAGCGGAAAAAAAGAATATTTCTAAAATATCCTAACAACAAATCTAGTAAGCAAAATAGCTAAAGTATACATAGAAGATGAACACAAGGACTATTTTTTACAGGCCACTAGTCCAAAGTCATAGCTACCATATCCAAATGTATAATACTGTACTGCTAAAGAGCCAAACTTAATTTATCTGAATTTTATCTAATGAGCACAACTACAAAGGAAAAGAAAGTTGTTCAAGAAGAGCTTTCAGTGTTTAAAAAAAATCAAAGAGTAGAGTGTTAGAATTTTGGGGAAAATGATTAGGAGATATCTTAATAAGCAGTGCTATTGGGTAATATAGTATGGAGAGGATAGGCAAAACAAATTAAGCAAAAATGAAAAAAAAATCAAGCTCTATGTAAATATAGGGATAACGTTGGTTACATATTCCATATAGTATAATATCATGTGCCTCCTCTCTCAAAGTTTATTTCATACTTTAATATGTAAATAGGATATCAACCTCAATGCTGTGGTCATTAATGTTTCTGTCAACTTTCTTAAACAGAAGGTAAAAAGCGAAACACATACACAAAGCTAAAGTCTTTCTAAGCCTCACTCATTAACTCATTAGAGGGTTACTGAGGATAATGAGTGATAGAGACATGCCTTATTAATGAAGATATTAGTGATATCTTGTATTTCCTAAAGAGATTTTATCAAATAACCATACAAGGGGACTAACATAGAGGTCTGACTTAGTGTTTGAGATTTAAGGACTCTGACCTAAAGCATGGGCAAGTTGTAATTACACTAAATGGGAGAAGCAATGTCAAATGTTCCATCTAGTAAGATAGGCAAACTAAAAGAATACAAATCTTTGCAGGTTGCTTGCTTAAGATTACAATTACAATAAACAATTTTCTAAGTCACCATAGAGTCCTTAAAAAGAAACAAATATTGGATGTACTCGACTTTAAGATCAGGATTTTAAACAAAATGATCTTGTACTTTTAGGTCTTCACAATATATCTCCTATTACTGCCATTTCTCTAAAATAGTAGATCTTAAATGAGAACAGTGTTTGGGAAAGATAATTAGGCTGAAACCAATTTGAATTAAATTTAGCTTTTGATATTTACATAAACTTGGCCATTTTATCAGAGGTATACACTTTTGATTATAAAATACTATATGCCTTTATTTTTACATATTTCTTAAGGAAGAACTTTGAAGATCACTTACATGACTCATCTGGTGAGGTGACAGGAAATAAATCACATCACTCCAAGCCAAGATTGCAAACTATACTATTATAGTTAAATTGTTAAAGCTTGGAAGGAATAAATGTTTCAGTAAGAGAACTGCATGCTATATGTAGAAGGGTTTAATTAAAAAAAAAACACAAGCAAGGTCTGGGCAGTGATGGCACATGTCTTTAATCACAGCACTTGGGAGGCAGAGGCAGGTGGATCTCTGTGAGTAAGAGGCCAGCCTGATCTATAGAGTGAGTTCCAGGATAGCCAGGGCTACAAAAAGAAACCATGTCTCAAAAAACCAAAACCAACCAACCAACAAAAAACCCCAATAGATAGGAAAATGATGTTCCTTGTTAAACTGTGGTTTAAGCAAAATAACATAGCACAAAATAGACACCGTGCTATTTGTTTATAAAAATAGACATAAATTGTTCAATTTGTTTATAATTTCTCATTACTCAATAATGTGACTACTAGCCCACACTTAGGCATATGAAGTATTTTAAGTTCGCTTATTACTAAATGTTAAGGAAGAGCCAACTAAGTACTTTCCAATATCTATTAAAGTAACCAAAGCATCATGTCAAATCTGGAAGAAGACTCAATGATTATTACTGAGTTCTTCTAAACTATCTTACAGATGAAGGAATTGGCCCCAAATAGGACTTGCTGTTGTTGTCATTCACATCATTAATATGAATCAAAAGCCGCTCTCATTGCAAAATCAACAGACCTTTGCATACCTTAGGTGTTGTTACTAAATACAGTGCTTCAGGATGGTACGGAGATACAAAATATTTTAAACTAGAAGGAAAGCTGCTTACTACCTTAAGTTCATACTGTCAGTATATCTGACAAGTTCATCTAGACAAAACCTTATAATAAATTAAGATTTAGGGTACCCAAACTCATCACAGAACATAGTACTCTTGCCTAAATCTTTAAATTTAGCTTACAGAGATGACCACTGTATCTCACTGTCATTGAAGAACAATTTATATGAGATTCTCTGAGGTATTGCTTATAACTGTAGTTTCCTATCCAAAAGTGGTGACAAACACTTGTAATTTTGGGGTACACAGTGAGAACCTGTCTCAAAACACCAAACCAACCCAATAGAAATTTAATGCCAGCAGTATCTAAAAGAATATTTACTCAATTCAATTTTCCTGGTCACTTTATAGTTTTAAAATTACCAGTTGGAGGTTCTTAGGATTTCATTTATCTGTTCCAAGTAGAATCTGTATAAGTTCATAAATGTAGATCCTTTGTTTAGAATAGCATACCCATTTCAAGAAAGAAAAAAAGGAAGGAAGGGAGGAAGGAAGGAAGGAAGGAAGGAAGGAAGGAAGGAAGGAAGGAAGGAAGGAAGGAAGGAAGGAAGGAAGGAAGGAAGGAAGGAATCACCAACAAGAAATAGGAGTCATGCAAATTCTTCATGTAACTGAGACCAATATGTGGTACTGGAATGGTACCCAAAGAGTATAAAAATAGCCTAAGCAAATAAACACCAAACAAGAAATTCATTAACTGATTTCTGTCACAGGAAAGATTCTTGTTTCAAAATGACTGTAAAAGGAAAAACAAGCTGGGAGGCATAAAGACAACCACTCCTTTATAAACTTATAGTTCTTCATGAGCCAAAATCTGAACATCCTAAGCCTTTAGGGACAGTCCATTATATATTATCATTTCTTTCATTTATATAGTATGATTCTGTTCAGTTGCTAAAGACACTTTATAAGAATCTTAAATCACACGTCAATTTTTACACCACAGAACTACAAATTTACTGTGTCTTACTTATTTCTAGCACTAAATCTTAGCTAATTTAACTACTTATAACACTGTAAAACTCAGCTATGAGAAATTAATGGCAAATTTATTCCATTTAGACTGTACACAATTACTGTATAAAGAAACAAGCTGTTTAAGATTTTAGTTACAAATATTAAGGCACTTGATAATTTCAACAACACTATTTTTACTACACTCCTAAAATAGTCACCTATGAAATACAGTCAATAGATACTTGAAAATATCTAAGAAAGAAGAGACACAGCAATTTCAATAGCTCTGAAAACTTCATTTAGTTGAGCTATTTCTGTTTCAGCATAAAACTTAGAAATTGTACGATGGCATTTTACTGAATTTAATTTAGACAAGATTATACATTAGTAAATAATAATAAACCCTAGAAAAAATAATTAAAATACAAAATGGAGGTAAATAGATGGTGCTCGGCTATTGTAAGAAAGTGGATAAATTCATACTTTAATTCTCTACGAGCTTGTAGGCCTCATTCTGTTGTAAAAGAATTTATCCTCAGATAACAGGGCAGCATAGTTTATGACAACAATCTACCTAAAAACTCATTAAAGTCTTTTCTCTTGAAGTGACATGCATTATCAGCAGAGATTAATCTGATGAGTCTTTAGGTGAGCTCCATTTTTAAAAATGCAATAACAGAGGGCTTTGTTGTCATCTGATGAAAATCAATTAGAGGAGGTAAGGCCACAAGGAAAACTAACATCACTCATCACCTACCCCCGGCAGCTGAAATGATTTGTCTTCCAAGCTTGAATGATCAGGAGCTACAGTCATATTGCAGGGAAATTAATTTAGTTTCTATATTCTGAACTCACTTTCCTTGTTCTGGAAGACCTAAACACAAATTACTTTTAATCAAGGTTGATATGTTATTAATACCAAGGAGGATCATTCAAGAATCACTTTTTAAAAAGCAACTTCTATGTTTTTCACCTGTGTCTGGTGTATAAATATAGAAAGGTTACTTATAGCATCCTTACTTTCTGGATTCTTTGTCCACTACAAGGCATTGTACAGAATGGCGAAGACAATAGATTCCACCAAACACAGCACACATTCTAGAAAGAGAATAGAAAAATGAGAATTAGGATAATTGAGATGAAAATTAAGGTAACAATATTTAGTTATCTTATACATAGTAACTGGTATTACAAAACAGAAGTCTGATAATAAATAATTTTCACTATCCATTATAAAATTTCTCAGATGTAATATTAGCAATTTCTTTATCCAACAAAGGGATTATGATTAATAATATAATACTGATAGCTAAAACTGTGACCAGGCCAAAAGTGTCCTAAGCAAGAGTTAAATGTCCCCCTAAAATCAGCTCCTACATTTCTAAGATGCATAAAGCACAAATATCCTCTAGAAGTGATGCAAGAGTTACTCAACCACAATAACAACAACAACAACACCACAACAGAGAAGGGAGAAGAAGGATGGAGCAAGGAGACTTCAAGAGACTTTTAAGGAGGTCATGCATACAGAGGTAAGCAAAATCTCCAGGAGCCAAGACTAACTAGGAACTGCAAACTTAGAACATGGCAGGAGTTGATGCAGCAGAAGCTGTAAGGAGTTTGCTTGCCTTATTCAGCTATGTACTAGCGATTTAACATCCGGATATGAAGAATAAGCCTTAAGATCTGAGCACAAAAGGAAATCATCTTTCATGCCATCTGATTATCTAAGGGACTCCACTTCAGTAAAATGATGGAGGAAAGAAACACACTCATTACTAGAGGTGCGGGGGGATGGGGGTTAGAATGCTGATTTGCCTTTAAGCTCTGGGTGGTCAAAGCTTATACTTCTGTACTCACAACCAAGGTTACATCCCCACCAACATCAAAACTTTGAAATTACACCATTAAATGATCCAAAACACCCATTACCAAAAATATCAAGAAAAGTGGCTCTGGGTAAATGATAATCCTGGACTTCAACTAGGGCTGTGTGCGACTTCCACAGGTTAGTCTCATAATGATGATTTTAAAACCTAAAATTACACAGTACAGAAAGAAACGTATCAAGCCCCAAGTGAGAATTAGCAGACACAATTTAACACCATAGTTAAACACATAAAACCCTATTCAGATAGAATTATTAAGTAGAGGTTATAGGAATGCTTAAAATGGATTAATCAAAAATGTGGAAAAGAACAATGGAATATCAGAAAGATGACTATGGTAGGCTGAATATTCACCCCAGCAGATGTGCACACCCTAATCACAGAAATATATAGACATGTTATGCTGCCATCGTGAAGGACTTTACAAGTACATTACATTAAGGTTCCTGCCATCAGATAATTCTGGTGAGCACAACAAATTACAGGGGTCTACAAAAGAAGCAGCAGGAAGGATAAAGTCAGATACAAAGATGTGCAGATGAGCACAGAGGTCAGGGTGATGCTGTTTGTATGAGGTAGCCACATGCTAAAGAATGCAGGTGGCCATTTTCAACTAGAAAAGGAAAGGAACAGAGCCTTCCTTCGTGCCCTAAGAAGGAATGAAGTCCTTCTGGTCTCTTTCAGACTGCTGACCTCCAGGAATGCAAGAAAATAAATTTGTGTGTTTTATTCTACTGAGCTGGTTAGCACAGAAATAGGAAATTAACAGAAAGATATATGTATACATAGAAATGTTTATGAAAGAAGTAGCAATATGAATCTGGGTAAAGAATAGGCTGTGACAAAAAAAATTGGGGACAACAGGTTATATTTATCAGAAGAATCATCTCTGATTTGTACTGTGTTCAAAATCAATTTCAGGAAGAGAACAGGCATAAGTATGAAAATCAAAACTAGAAGACAACATAGGAAGATAAGAAGTTAGGAAAGATATTTTCAACAAAACATAAAACTCATCATAAATTCAGAAAATAGAGTAACTTTAAATATTTAAACATGTAGACAAGAAAATTTAAAAAAAGGCAAGCCACAGATACGAAAAGAGATGTACAGATACATTAGTAGTTATTAAATGTTTCAGTCTGGATAACAATTTGTTATAGTAATCTCAAAATGCATACATTTCAGAGCAGAAACACCTATTGCTATGTAGATATTTTAGGTAGTTCCTGCTATATGTATGGAAGAAGAAGAAGATATATGTAACTTTTTCTTTCTTCCTGTAAATATTTTAGGCATTGTGGTTAAGGAAGAATTTTGACTGCCTGAGTTCACATGCCAGCTATGCCACATACTAGCTGTGTGACCATGGAAACAGGATAATCAGCTCCACTGTATCAAATTTCCCTTGCCAGCCTTGCAATACCACTTATTCACATAGGATTCTTCTAAAGAATAAACAAAATAATGTTTGTAAAGAAGTTATAAAGTATATTATACACAGAATTGAAAGTACATATGTTCATTTTAAAATAATGTTTTTGTATAACAACATAAAATAGAAACGTCTAGAGGAGAATTAAAAAATAAATGGACATTTATATACACAATAAAGGAGTTTAGTTTAACCAAAGAAGATCTAAGATGTAGTCACTGTCCCCAGCTTCTGGGAGGTGATCTCTATGCCCTATAAATGTCATGCCTGAAAGACGTGTTTTTGTTTGCCTAGAGACACTGGTTCAACAGACAGCCTTAAGAAATTGATTTAGAGGGAGGGCAGGGTGGACCAGATAGCTTTAGGATGGGGGTGGCTGGATCAGCAGTTTGATTGGGATGGAGAGCTTTGGTCACTTGATAAATACCAACTAAATTCCAATGGGGTAGGCACTGGAAATTATGGGTGATGCTCCAAGTGAAATTATGCCTAAATGTTGAAAGCAACAATTGAAATTATGACTAAATGTTGAAGCAACAATTAAAAAAAAAGTTGAAGCTGGGTGGTGGTGGCGTACACCTTTAATCCCAGCACTCAGGAGGCAGAGCCAGGTGGATCTTTGTGAGTTCAAGGCCAGCCTGGTCTACAGAGTGAGATCCAGGAAAGGCGCAACACTACACAGAGAAACCCTGTCTCGGGAAAAAAAAAAAAGTTGAATAGTGGTGCTCAAGTGAATTTTCTTGATTAGTCAGACATGCTGGTCATATACCTGCATATGGAGAGGCATAACGCTCTGATTCTTCAGTGAGGAAGCATTCTACAAAGTATATATTTGGAATCCCTCAGTGTTCTGCCCTATAAACCTTAAAAAATACTTCTATATCCACTCCCTCTATTGAACAAAACTATTATATATCAACTTTTAATGAGTCCTTCAAGCTAATTACCATCCCTAAGGTCGACTTTGCAAAACTAACAACTATGCATTTGGTGTTAGAAGTAAGGATAGTTTGTGATGACTACATCCTATAAATATGCATACAGTTGTCCAAATTCTCATATCATACAAGGGGATACTATAAGAAATATAAATGCATGAAACTTCATCTCTCATCTATTAATGTGGTTGGATTTTAAAATGTAAAAGCTAGGTGACAATAGAAATTTAGGAAACAATACTTTCTGAGTGGCATCATTTATAAAAAAAATTCACAACTTCATATACAAACTCTCACCATACATTTAAAGGATACACAATATGTAATGCATAAAACTTTGAGGCAACTAGAAACAAACACTGGAATAACAATTCTAGGAAAGTGGAGAATGAAAGCTACACTGAAGAAAATCAGTTGCTGAATGTCTTTACTGCTCCTGCAGAGGTTTGGTTCTCAGAACCTGTATCAGGATGCTCACAGCCATCTGCAAATCCAGTAGTATCAAGGGATCTGATGACCTCTTCTGGCCTCCCCGGGAACCTACATGCACAGACTGCACATAACCTCCTGCAGGCCCACATACATATGCATAAATAAAAATAAATGAGTAAAGTTTAAAAAAGTAATTGAAGTAAATTTGGCCAAATTTTGAGATTTGACAAAACCAAGTGAGTACATTGATATCTTTTATTTTAGTCTATACTGAGAATGTATTTCATAATTATGTAGAATGTAAAGAAAACTATAAATGGTGGAGATAAATGACATTCATTAAATAGGGTTTAGTATTTTCCTGTCTTTCCAAATTGAATCCTCTTAGATGTACACAAGGAGGATAGCTATGGTAGATTAGAGGCTGGGTAATAATTTCTTCTGGTATACTATGTGGTCAGTGCACAAGGAAATTGGCAGGTTTTTACATTGAGAAAATTAGAATAATTCAATAAAGGACACAACAGAGCCACTAAACAAAATTTCACATGGTTAAAAAACTGTAGACGATAAATTTATGTAGGACACTAATTATAAGATAGTCTTCTTTCCTGTTAGTCTTGCTCACCAATAGAATGTCAAATTGTGCAGTAATATTTATTAGTCTATGTGATGTTAAGACATTACAATCTATCATAATGAGATTTAGAAAAATAATCTCCCAGGTAGACTGTTTAGTTGCATTTGCCATGTGGTATTCAGCCTTCTGTTTTGGCAAGAGAGTACTGACAGACAGGAAATCATGACAAAGATAACTGACATGATCTTCACTGTCAATTTCCTGCTGATAACAATAGAGTTCACAAGAAACACCGTTGTTCCACTTCACACAAGTAAGTTGAATGAGATTCAAAGCTCCAAATAAAGTTCTCATTTGTTTGAGGGACAGTTTTATGTCGTGAGTGTGATTGTAACAGTCTTTCTGGGTTCCTCAGAAGTAGCTAGGGGTGAGCTGTTACCACCCGATCTACAGAATTTTTCATCTCAGACAGATGAGGCCACATTCTCATGTTCACATCTCTTACTCTTGCCCCAACATGCTCACAGCAATAAAGAAAAGTTAATGTGGCATCAATTCTTCAAAGGGAAAATGCTCTTTTTAAATGTCTTCTTAGTTTTTTTTTTAATCTGACTCAATTCAAAGTTGTATAAGGTTAAAATGTTATGAAACATTATGTCATAGAATATTACCAATCAAAAGATTGCTAAATGCACTTAATGAAATGTGATTTTACAAAGACCCCCTTTTAAGTTTCTGTATGAAACAGACTACTGTTTTTGCATGTATTATCTAGTATTCTTTTGAAAATAAAACTTTACAAAATCTGAGCTACATGAAGCCTC